TATAAAATAATTCGCTGCCTCGTGGTCGCCATTGTGCTCTAGTTCACGAGCATGAATCTCTATATATAAGCACTACTGACTTACAGATCACAGTGACTTGACTCGACAGATTGTCAATTTTGACAGTTGACCGTAACATACCACAGAGTAAACTTTGCCCAACTTCTATATGGCGGCAATTAACATTATTCTTAAATAATTATTTTTTTCCTTTATATGTATAATAAGTATACCTACTTATAATCGTAAATCATACATATTGAAAATTGATTTCAAATATTATACTTGTGTAAATGGAATGATTTTATGGTATCCCTTTTATAAGTTCGTGATTTTTTTTAGTAATAATAGGTGTACGAGATATATTTCGTACAAACAGCGTCGCTGGCAATAAATTAAGAATTTCGTGGCGCGGTCACTGAGACCAATGTCTTCCGTCTGCTTGCCTCGTCTGTTGCCCTATGCTGCTACAGGAAACATTATTAGCTATTGTTCACATTAAAATGTGCTTTATTGCGCGACTTAGTTGTGTACTAATTATTTATATAAGCGATTTTTCATTCAAACTCTATTATTCCAACGATAAAGACAGTTAAGCAAGTAATTAGAGCCACCGAAATAACTTCATACATTTCCCCCCCCCCCCCTGGGTAAAATCATTTTCATAGTCCGCGCGTTAAAGTGTTTTATTTAATGTACAGACTATAGACAGTATTTACTTCATACATTTTGGTTTGTGGTTTTAGCCTTTTTTTTTTTAAATTTCTATTTAACTATAAGAAATCAGTAGAATATAAATAATATTGGCAAGCCTATAAAATATATATCACAAAGTAACAAACTATATCACTTTAAAAATCGAAAACCAATTGAGCTACCGAGAGCAACAGCACGGAACGCTGACGATGCCGGTTCAAGTCCTGCCCGAGTCGAAAATTTTTTCAATTTATTTTCGATTTTTAAATTATATACTGCCTTCGTGTGCAATCATGTGAATTAAAGTTTTCAAACTATTTCACTTCTTCATTATGAAAGGCCTTCTGGAACTCTCTTCCCTCACACATCAAAAAAAGCCTAATCTCTCCGTACTTTTAAAATCTCAGTTATCAAATTTTATCTTTCCACCTGTTAATTACCTTTCTTTTCCATTAACATTCCTCTCTAGCACCATCTACCTAGAGTTATTTATTTTTTTTATTTTACCTTCACTTCAGGTTGCCTGGAAGAGATTTTTTTGCTGTTTAGAGATAAGGCCACTTTTTAGTTTTAAGCTAAGTACATAAGTCTTTATTCTTGTAAACCATTCCTGTGGTGTTTGTAATAAATAAAGTTTAATAAATAAATAATAAATATTTTTGTGATTAATCTAGTATTATTTGAACCGCACCCAAAAAACCTCCTCAAAATCATATCTTAGATTCTTTTCGGTATGGTATTTAATCTGCGCCATTGTCAAAGTTTAATTTTTATTAATTTTCTGTAGTAGTTGATATTAATTTCGATTATAATATGTTGTTTGCCCTTAATCGTTCTTATGATTTATGTTCATATTAGAAGAACTGTGGAAAACAGATAAGAAAGCCGTGAAGTATAATCAGGTATTGGTATCAGTCTGTGGATTTCTCGAATAATCCAAAGTCAATATAGGTAATAAGCGCACTTGTTCATGTGAACCCGATCCTTGTCTATTACATTTCCATCACAAAAAAAAAATAATGTGTAAAATTCTAACATAACGTTGATGATCTAGTCTTAATAAATATATGTTAAAATACTGGAAACAAATAGTTTTAACGTCGCCTATTGTCAGTAGATGCCCGGTAATTGAAATCCCGAAGACATCACTTAACGCCGCCACGGTTAATTCAATGAAGGATCACCCCGGGCCATTTACATACAAATACATACAAAACGCGACCAAATCGGTTCCGGGTCACGTGGCGAAAGCGCCGGATCGCGTTTCGTTCACGCTTAATAAAGCCACAATCTTCCAACAATACAAAGCAGAACGGAAAAAAGAGGGTAGCAGATTCCAAATTTGAATTTGATTATCGAAGTGTGCCGACTATTTATCATTCGTAATGACGCAGCGGAGGAGAATGCACGTAAAGCGCGCTCTCAGATAATATTGTTTATGGGAATTAGTGCTGATTAGTGATTTTGAAATGGGAATCGAACCGGCAACATTTACTTTGTAATCTTGATATTAAATGTGTATACAAGTCTATTAGATACTAGTTAATACATAAATACTTGTTTGTAATGCTTTTACAGTGTTAGTATTACATATTAATTAGGTTAGATTACCGACCAGAAATAGCTGACTAAAGTTGGTTTAACTTTTTTGAACAGATTCTATTTACATATACTAAAACTACACATACATAGAATAACAGCATTGTTAAGATAAGTTAAGACAAACGCTACAGTGCACAGTGAACAATATTCAAATATATTATCAGGCTGTATTACGGAACACATTCGTCAAGAACTTGCAAACATGTTTTGGCTACAGGGTGGCCCCGTAACCTAACTCGAATATAATAAAAACTGAAACTGTGCTAAAAGTATTTTAAATCATTTTTTTATATATACGTTTGAATTCTTTAGCTAATATAAAATTTAATTAGTGTAAGTGTGAGTTTTATAAGTAATAATATTGATATCACTGTCTTAACCTAGAAAACAGAAATAAATGAGGATAACTACAGAAGACTAACGGGATTTTCTTATCTGTATTGCGCTTTTGAATATAAACATCCTGTACTGTGGGACGGGTCGCAGCGTCCCCAATATGAATATTTTCTATTGAATTATTCACGGCTCGGCGCGCGGGCAGAAATATTGTTCGTCTAGCACTTATCGCAGACACGAACTTTACCCATTCTCGCTTCCGCGACTTCTGACCTGTGTTATGGTTCACTATGATAGTACCTAACCCTACCACGGAGCGGTATTTTTAACTACATCTACAGGGTGATTAGACACATTGAAAAGAGTAATTAAACAGTAGTTTGTATGTATATTACGTATTTTCTTCACAAAGGAGGAGAGATAAGTTCACGTGATGGAATTTGATACATCTCAGCCATTTAACATTCTAAACAAGTTGCGCGGTCGACCTATTTTGGCTTTGGACTTCCAGAAATCTATACCGTAACGCGATTTTACACTTAACAGTTTTTCCACCTATTAAGGTTATGAACCTAACGAATTTTTCATTATAACTAGGCCCCATTTAAAATAAGAAGTTTAGGTTTCGTAGATAAACTGTTAATATTATTTTCTAATTTTCATTGCAATCATATGAAGAAAACATAGTGTAAACATAGCAAAATACCAAAAATCTGTTTAGCAAATCAAGAATCTGCTAAACAGATTTTGGGTAACTTGGCAGATTCTGTATTAAGCCGTGGTGTCTGCTAAACGGCTGAACATAATGTAATTAAATGTAGTCGTCATGCCACAAATTCCCATCGCAATTCACCACGACCCATGCTCCAATGAGCAATGACAAAGTCAAGGATGCCCCCGGGCATGTGAACAGATTCGTTCGCAAGATTTCGTCACGGATCTTATTCGCGCTCGGACGATTGGCAGGGAGGAAAGAATCGATTAGACCTCATTCGATTATAGATAGTGTAATTGTATTGTATGCGATAATTGTGATATAGTACCCGACATAGAAAAACAATTTATTCAACATGATTACATTATTTAGTATTTCCCTTATATAAGAAATAAAAGAAAAAAATTGGTTGTCTGTAAAGTTAGTTGAACGTGACAACGTCTTAAGAAAATACTGATGGAATGGTAGCATTTTTCAAAAGAAAATTTTAATTTCATTTGTTCAATAGATTTGTACGTATGTAGAGAAGGAGGTAATTGGAAATCACAAGAAATTGATCAAGTTAGATTTATTTGCACGCATAAATACAATTATTATTATTACGTTAATTTTTCTACACTCAAGTAGGAGAGAGACAGAAGTCGAACGCTGCCAAACGCAAAGGCCGATTGTGCTTATTTGTCGCTCGTTCGGCGGTCTCACTTGCACTTCAAGCCTTACATGGAACGCGAGCGAGGTAACGCCGCATGATCATGTTTTTTCGTGCGTGCAGCCGGCTCTATCGAATTATAAGACGTTGTCACGTCAAAAACTACTAAAAATAACCGTTTCTGCAACATAGTAGTTCAATTGGTTAGAGCAATAGCACGAGCACGGAACGCGCTGCCGGTTCTCATGCCAGATATTGTACATTTTATCAACTATACGATAACAGTTACATCAGAATTATATATAATTATCCATTTTTAGTTTTGAATTTTTTTTCTCTACTTTAATTGATATTAATTACAAATATACAAATGCTTATTATATATGCCCCAATATTTAATAACAATATGTATATGGAGGGGTATAGATAAATATCAAAGACGAACACATTTGTTTTTCACTAGTTAGTCGGGCAACGCATAATTTGAGAACGTGATAGCTTCATTTCGCTCCCTAGTTATAGATTAGTAACGCTATGCCTCGTTACTAAATCTATCCATTCCTATTACTAACTGATTAGCGTAACGTGTTCGGATGGGATCTCATGGGAAAATGGACGTGGGACATTATTAACTATCAAATGATGTGAGAACATATAATTACATAATTAACCGTAAGAAATACTTTTGTATTAAGACATGTCAAAAAACACATACACAAAAGATATAATTTGTTCCTAAATTTGATGAGTGTTTGTTTCAGAATGTTGGTGACAGTTTTCTATTTGTATTTTTATCAGGTTTATTTAATTGAAAAGAAATACGTGAATAATTCATTAGAGATTTATTTAATTTTCTAGCACTATTATTTACAAAATAAATACTTAAAAACTAATATTGCACAGTGTAATAAAATAACAATAACAACACTAACAGGCGTGGATTCTGAAATATTCGATTGCTACTCGTGAAACATTACTAATAGTGATAGTTTTGAACAGAGCCTACTTCTGATGAATCCCACCGTTGGGATAAAACTTGCTTTTCTTATACTGTGATGGCGATACGTCCTCCATATCGCCTTCCTTGTCTTGATGCGCCGTCATATGCCTTGTCAAATGATGCCGCTCCCTAAAGCTCTCGTTGCAAACGGGGCATTTTAATTTCTCCTCCCTTTTCCGTCTGCTCGGGTCAACGGTCGACTCGCTCTTGTGGTGCGTCCGCATGTGGTATACGAGGTCGGACGTCATGCGAAAACTTATGCTACATTTGGCGCAAACATTCTGTGCTGGTAGAGAGAAAGCAGCTAAAGTCGAAGGCAGTAGCGTGCTAAGTATCGCCGCTGCAGGGCTGGCGATCAAAGAATTGACCGGCTCTCGTTGCGGCGCTTGGAACTTCATAAAATCAGGGTTAGGCTGCTGAAAATTCTGGACTCCGAAAGGATAAGTCGATCCGCTGGGAAGATACGGTAGTTCTGGCCGAAACGGCAGGAAGTTCATTTTATTTGGCGATATAGGAATCGCTTTCGTATCAGTTTTTGATTGATAATCGACCGATTTTATGGGTCCCGTAGGTCGAACGTGATTCGATTCGGAATAAGTCGGAGATGTCGGGGGATTATGTGATTTGAAGAAGTTGTGACCGTTCAGTAGATGAGCAGGCGTTAATAGATTGTTGAATCCGGTCTTATTAAAAGCGTTCACCGGAGGGGACGTCGCGAGAGGCGGGCTCACAGAATTCTGATACAGGAGATTATCCGGGCTCACGGAAGGATTGGGAATCGGCGATCTGAGTCCGTAGTTAGACACTTTCGTAAACGCACTTTTAGGGGACGCCTCTGGGTGTTTTGCAAAAAATCTATTCTCATACCTCGCTCTCGTCTGGACACTGATGAGCGTTGGATCATCGAAAATCTTGTTTTTATATTCTGGTAGAAATTTTAGCGGCCTGGTTGCGCTGTCGTTGGAGTTCGGGCGACTTCTTGATTTATCTGACGATTCAGAATCACTAGCGTACGTAGTCTTACTTGGGTACTCATCCATGCCGACGTCAATGTTCACATCGGACCCAAAACCTGGTGATATGTTATTGTTCACACGAGCTCTGTCTTCGTCGTCTTTGGAGTCTTGCGTATTATCGTTGGAATAATCACTGTGTTTATATACATCGGAGGACCTCTGCGAATGATCCCATTCTTCTGTCTTGAATATCTGTTTCGAGACTCGCAACTGCTTTTCGGGCGGCGGCTGCCGGGTTTTCTCATCAGGCATCATTAAGAACGCGACATCGAAAGACCTTTTCGAGGGTTTACCTTGATTTAGCATAGTGGAGTGGTCCGGTTTGATCTGCGTTCGCGCACTTTCTATATTTAAATCAGACTCCTTCGAATCTGGCGACTGTTCTTTGTAACTCTGATAGTTATTTTGAATGTCCATTGTCATTGTTTCTTCATTTAGTGCACGTCACTGGAGAACGAAAACTTTTTCCACTTATATCGTAATCGTTGTAGAGAGACGCGTGCGTACTGCTCGCCGACGACTTTCGAAATGCGAGCGTAAGGAGAGGGTGAAAAATACGTGAGCGGGGAGCGAATTACCCTTAACAAAGACTACAAAGTGGAGGGCGTGGTCGCGCCGGCCAATCGGCTTCTAGTTAAAGGCGGGATCAGAAGATACCGCCAATGGCGAGCGTATGACGACAGTGAGCAAGAGAGCTGAAGCAGAGGTTTAAGATAAAACCGCTACGAATTGAGAGGATTGAAGTGTGGTAGGGGCCTGACAAAGACAGTATGATGTGGAGAGCCGAAAGCCGATTTTGCATCTGTATCTCTTTAGTAGCTATAAGAATGTTTCTCCTGTTGAGTTTTGTAACTCTGAGTGTCTTTTGAAGTTCGACGATTTATTTAATAAAATATTTGCATAAATGTTGACGTTTTAATCATGTACTATGTAGGAATATATCACTAAGATATGTTATAGTAAAATGTAAGTTTTACTAAACTTCTATGTACCAAAAAGTTTATTATAATTTGTAATTGTAACTAAAAATGGTTTATTGTCTCTTAGTAAACTATATATTATCTATTTACTACCTACCTAACTACATTTAAATAGTGATCACATAAGATTAATAAATATTTAAAATATTGTATTATTTATCAATAAATAGTTAACTTTAAAGTATTGTTGTTTTAGCAATGTATATTTAATTTAAAAATCGAAAATAAATTGAAACAATTTTCGACTCGGGCAGGACATTTTTTCATTTTTTTTTTTTTTTCCTTTTTTTTTTTTTATTATATAGTGCCTTCATGCGCAAACATGTGAAAAATATTAATGTTTTCAAATGTATATTTATATAAGAATTATTTACATATTGTAATATTCCTAATTCAATCTTAGGTGTCCTTTTTTTCTTCTTATAGTTGTCATTTGATTTTAAACGACTTGCAATATTTCGCAATTACCTACTGTTATTTTAAACAAGCAACAAAAGATAATATTTTTGTTGTTCTCATAGATCGGAACAATTAATGTAAAAACTTTCAGAACGTCGATAAAAATAAAATATAAGACGGTAAAAGTTAGGTCGGTCATTACGTCTGTTTATCTCGCGGAGCACGGCGCTAGAAAAAAGTCCAACCATTATGATTGCAATAAATATGTTTTATATGTGGCATAAAAAATGATCTCTTTGTCGTAACGCCCGAGTGTATAGACGAGATTGTGAATAATGCTATTAACACAGACGCTACTTCTCAAATGGATATCCTAAACGCCATCAACACTAAGCAAAACCGACCCAAACTCAACGGAACAAAGTCCAAAACCGCTACCTCATTTTTTACTTAGCCGAAATCATCGATTTTTAAGCGATTATACCTCTTATATCTTCATAGATAAATAAGAAATTCGATTGAAGGTCGTAGAAGAAGCCTCAGATGAGGTCTGTTCTAGTGGGTAACGATAATAAGATGGGTGCAGACGTTAAAGGAAAGCCATTTGTCAGATTTTCTCGCCATTTTTCGTATTTTGAAGTCGCATTCGTGGGAATCTGTTCGATTTATTTTCATTTGGGTAATGATTTTCGCGGGAGGCTAATGAGCTTTTATAAGATAAAACGATCGACCTACTAAGTCTGTTCAAAATACTTTTGTGGTATCACTTCTTCTTTATAATAAAGTAGGAAGACAAGCAGACAAGCATGGCGAATACCACCAACTCAAGATAGATCTAAACAAGATGCGGTGTGTACTTCTTTTAGCTTCGGTTAAATTCTTATCCATAGACGGAACCAATTTTTATATAGGAACATATATATACGTAGTTATTATTGTAAATGTTTTCATGTTTTTACAAAAGTTAATAACATATTATTAAAATAATGTCCTTGCACAGTTAAAATACTATATCAATTCCACATTATTCTATTTTTTTTAATTAAATATGAATAAAATGTTATCATTAAAACAATCACGATAATTAAGCACACTGTTTGTTGTGGGTTTTAGTCTCGTTTGTGTCAATGATTTTTTAAATTTTCACATTTAAATCAATCCCTTTAATTTAAAACCCCTTGGTAAAGCTGTCTATCTGATCTAATAATGCTATTGTATAATACAAAATTAATTTAATGTCTGCAATAAATTGAATGTATCTCTTATCAGTCGATACTAGTGATAAGTTATTGTGGGCGCGTGATTCCGTTTATCAGCCACGTGTTGGGGGCGCTAATTGTCTCTTCAAAGTGGTAACTATTAGAAAGAATTTGCTATCGTTTATCGCTCATACCATATAGTCAATGTTTTGAAGGAAGAATCAATTAGGTTTTAGATGCGACTAGTTCTAGTATGGTACAAAAATATTGCCAAGAGAAACAAAGGGAGAGCTTGTAGAGTTAAACCTCAAAATTTTCAAAATTAATATTAAACAAGAAGAAACCGACAATACGCACTCACTACCAATCAAATAAATGTATATATTAAACACTTTCGACGGTTTAAAACACAAAAGATAAGTAAAATAAAATTATGGTTAAAAGTCGATACCCTCTGACCACGGCTGCTGCAAAAAATCCAAAACGTGGTTTAAATAAATTAATAAAAACGTATTTTATGTATTAATAGTTAAATGAGTTTTATTTTATACATAGAAAAAAAAAATCATGATCACGGATTGAAATGGAAAATCGGTTAAGGGGGCAACAAATAACCTACTGTTGCTAGGTTTGAGTTCCGACCATGTCGCAAAATGTTTGAATGAAAAAGTAATTTTATTAATAGAGGCTCTCATTAACATAATTATATCGGAATGACAAAATACGACTTCGTGGAGATAGTAAGTAATTTAATCGACTACGTAGGTACCTACCTAATAAAGTACCCGTTTTAACAAACTTAAAAAAAGGAGGTTGGCAATTCCATTTATACGTTATTGTCAATGCATACACACAAATGGAAAGAAGATTTACTATCAATGATAAATATATTTCGGAACACAAGCTAGTTCTGTAGATTCTCTAATTCTCTGTTAGGGTAACACTTAAATAAAACACTTTAACGGTTTAAAACGAGATATATATTAGTTAAACTAACACCCCTTCCCCGGGTGTCTCCCCGTGACCAAGGCTGCTGCAAAGCATCAGAAACGTTGGGCTGAAGTAAAATTATTTTTCAAATAAGTTTAACTAGTAGTATACATATATCGAGTTTTGAACCGTTAAAGTGTTTCATTTAAATTTTTTTACTAACTAGCAAAAGGTAAGTCGGTTTTATAATATTAGTATAAATAACTTTTATAGCGTCCCTCTGGCTATCGGCTATATTGGACCATATAACCGTTGGACACCGACGTCACAGCAAGATTCCAATCCAATATTTCTCGAACTCAATCACGCCGCTGTCCCAGGACAATACAAAGAATATTAACTCTCAGCTAATCTGTCTCACCCGGGATCGACACGACAATCAAACTTGCAGATGTGACCCTTGACTTGCGATCATCAGTCAACTGCGTTCTTATACTCGCGAAGAAATGGACGTTGAAAAAGAGAATCTCTCTCATCAAATACTAAGTACACACCGCGGTGTTACTCGCTGCAGAGAATAATTTACTTTTTAGGGATTGACAGCAAATCATCAAAATTTATAAAAATGTATTCTTATTGACAGTTTTCTTTAATTCTGCATGTTTTTTTTAATTACTTTAATTTAGTAGCAATAGTCATTAAAGCCCTACCTGCAATGGAAAACTGGAAAAGCGTGGTGGGCTTTCGCTCTCAAAACCCTCTCACTCATTAATGCTAAAAGAAGTAGGCTATTTAATCTGATGAAATGATGGAACTATCACGTTGAATATTTTGATATTGAATAAATAATCGATCATAATGTGAGCAATAATCCCTTAATCCGCGAAAGCACCTGCATTAACATTGTATTAAAATATGTTTAGCTTTAACCATAAATGTATGGAGAACTAATACGGCTGGGCCATATGTCACTCTAGTTCCAATATCCACCCCGTAGTTAATTTAATAGCAGCGAGAAAAATAATGCATTTTAACCTTTATTACCTAAACAGCATGGATTACAACTGTGTGAATGGATTCTTCTAGTGTCGTCACCATTGAATTCGGATAATAATCATTCTCTTTTGATTCTGGATCAACAATCCTGTTAATCGTTGATTTTTTTTATTGAAAAATGTACCGTATAAATCCTAACTTAAAGTTCAAGTTAAATTAAACTGCTGAAAATACATCAACGCATTTTATACACTAGCATTTTACAAAAGTGAACAAGTAATGTTTTGGATTAATAATTATCTTCGTCATACTTTGATTTATAAAACATACTTAACGGTTTGAAATGCAAACAATTTTTAGAGGAAATCCAAGAGGTTAAGGCAAAACATGCAAATGTCGGGTCATACAAAAACTAAGGTTACAAGTATATTTTGTCATTTCAAAATGTTATACCTACGTGTTTTTTATTGCGGAATAACTTCGTAAATTGACATCTATCGTTTTTTATTTTTTCTCCTAAAAACTAAATAGATTTGGTTTATAAATCAAAATGTTAAAAAATATAGTAAGGATGTAACTATATTTGCAGTTAAACCGTTCGTGTGTAACCCGCCTGTTGTTCCGACGCACTTGTTTATAAATTTTAGTACCATATGGTATAAAAGCCATGTACAATGCGCCCTTATACTGGTGTACTACTTTTATTACCATATGCGACACGTTAGATGCTCTTCAATACGAAACTTATTGTATAAGTTCGTGTATATTTATAAAAGTAGTTTCGGCGGGCTTGTTAGTCCATTGGTGGCAATCTATTGCTCTCATCGGGTCGTGGTATCAGGTTCTAGTTTCTAGTCCAACATATTTCTAAAAATGAATAGTTCCTTTGCTCGGCGTAAAAACGATTTTTTATATATTT